CGTACTTTCTGCTACGCACGAGCGGCATGGACTGCTTTGATGTCTTCGAGGCTGTGTTTGGCCCTATCATTTTGCTGGTCGGCATGGGCCTTTGATGGCACTCACATTTTTTTTTTTTTTGCTTCTTCTCTCCCCCGTCTTTTAATGGTTCCAATGAAATTTATACAAAAAGAGGGATAAGAGAGGTTAAGTTAGAAAACATTGAAAAAAATAGATAGGCGCTTCAGTTAGCTCTTTAACAATACTTAATAGAAATTAACTTTAACACATACACACAGCCGCGAAATTGCAAATCACCCAACTTATTCACAGCTCAATATGGGAATAAAGGTCTACTTTCTGCGATATGAAAAGAAAAAGTAAGTTTCTAAAAATACTACGCTTAAGGCTTAAAAAAATTATTTAATAAATCTAGATATAAATCAATTTTTATACTATTATAACAAATGTCAAACTTATGCTTAGTATGAAGTCATTAGTGATGAAAATTATTACAATAATTACAATAATTTATATAGCGCCGTCACATCGGATATTTAATGAAAGGAGATTTATATTTTAAATAATGGGTCATGGTATATTCATATACAAATCGCGTTTTTGAGAATGTACTAGGATGAAGCAAGAGCTTTTCACATTAGATAAGTGCCTCTCTAACCGTTCTGCTTTCTCTAATCTGTTAATGGAATGGGTTGCCTGAGTCAGCCAGGAAAACCAATGATTTAGCATATTTTAAGTCACAGATCAACATGGATGACAAGATTGACACATGAAATGAGTAAGACGTAACAATCTTATTTTTTGAAGAAACGTCTGTAATCTATAAGTACCGGTAATACCAAAAAGCTTCAAACTCATAAGGCTGCTATTATAGGGTATTATTTATAGTTTTCAGACTACATACATGTATAAATAGCATACATTATGTAATCCTACGAATGCATACATTCAGTTTTTGATGCCTTATCAAACTTTATATATTTTGTAGAGAATTAGGCTTACACCAATAATATAACACATGGGCGTAGCCGGGAGGGGAGGGTCTTCAAACCATCACTTGCCTCAGACCTCATTGTTTGAAAGGGAAACTTGACTTACTGCCCCAGTGCAGCCAACGTAAGCAAACTACAGTTTCCAAATTTCATGATCGTAGCCAAAAGGGGCTTTGTGGTTTCCCTTCCCCCTCCAATACAAAAACTAAAGCATTTTACCATTTTCTACCAATCGCTGGACTCCATTGAATAGCAGATTTGGTTTATGAATTTTTTTAGCGGAAGAGTAGCAGGCTTATTGCAATGTAGATACCTCAGAATATACATTTTTAAAGCTTAAAATAACTGAAATAATGCGCTCACAGCACTCACCCGGACTTTCTAGCTGCCCTTTGTCTTTCCACTAATTATAGGAATAGAGTATTCTAGGGTAGAAAAAACGTTTGAAAGAATGAAAGATCAGAATGTAATGAAGATTAATTACATATACACACACACTAATATATATATATAAATTGCGAGTGGGGTAAAAATCCCCCCCCCCCCACCACAGAAAATATATGACATGCCATTTGTGGGCCGGATTATATGGTAAGGGCCGATTTCGATACCCAGCCCGCCCCTGTCTTTGTGTCTTTCAGATTATTTTATTAAATTTTGTTTTTGCATTTGAAGATTATGGTTTAGTGTTTTATGTATAATTGCTACTTTACTTTTAAGTCTTCTATACTTATGCTTTCTAAATTTAGTGTTTTTACTACAGGAGTTACTCTAGTCAAATGTGAATATTCGTTTGTTATGAATCTCACTGATCTATTTTGTGTCTGTTCCAGTTTCTTAATGTTTTCTTGAGTTGAGGGGTCCCAAATACAGGATGCATATTCTATTATTGGCCTAACCAATGTTAAATAACAGCCATATGAAAAAGTGTTCGAGATGAACCATAGTCGTTCTACCACTGAAGGAGGCCAATATATATAGTTTTATTTGATTTATAGAGATTTCTTTTAATTAACCCTAATGCTTCCTAATTAAGCGAACAGAAAAAAAATTCCAGCAAGTGCGTTGTAAAGTGCTAAGACTAGAACGCTACGAGATATATTCTACGTCCATGAGCATCCATTGTACCAAAACGTGTCTCCAGATGTCATGCCACTATCTGAAAATTACTGCCAGACAAAAAAATGGTGAGCTCTTTTGGACGAGATGGTTAGTAAGGTCGATGTGTTTTAATCCTTTTCACTTTAAACAAAAAGCCCGTCACTTTGGTCATCCCTTTTTTTTCTTTAAATATCACATTTACGTACTTAAGAGCTAAGCAGCTTATGGTCTTCGAAAGTGTGCACTTAAATTTAACCGTTGCATAAAAACATGATTTGTTAGGTTTGTGTCAACCTACAAGTGTTGATTTAATTAGCTGTGAGTGTGTATTTTATGTCAAGTGCTAGTCCGACCCCCAGGGGGCCACCTATAAGTTTGCAAGACAAAATCCTTTAATTATATTGCTTTTCTTTACACTGTACATTATGCCACCACTAAGAGAATTCAATAATGAATATTCATTGCAATGACATTCCAGTTCCTTGTAAATAGTTGGCACAAGATGAATCGCCCTCCACCCCCCCCCCCCCCCCCAAAACACATAAATCTCATGAAGCTGATAAACACTTTCCAATATTTCTTTAATGTAGTACATTTCCACGTGTATTTTAGTGTGTACACAGTCCAAAATAAGGGGGTGGGGGAGGGTGGTGGTGACAAATCAAATGTCCTCAAATGAAAAAGTTTAAAATTTATAGAACAGATCAAAAGAAGAGACAAGAAAAGACAAAAGCAACACATTTAATTCTTGCATAAACAATTGTTTACTTTCTCCATGACATGTTACAAGGGTAGTGAAGTATCTTGAAAGCAAATAAAAGAAACCTGAACATTCTTAGAGTTATAATGAAACCAATAAAACATCATGATGCAGGCACATAGCAACAAATGTCCAGTGGAATAATAGATAATATACACTACTATCTATGGACAGAACAATTTATAGTTAAAAGATGTTCATTTATCCATACAAGAGTGTATTCAAAAAAATATATAAAATCAATGACTAATTTATTTTTTTCACAAGTGTTATAATGCTTTTAAAGTATTATATTGAAATCCAATAATTACAAAATACTTGTACCGGTATATGATATATGCAGGACACTTCGTCTTCTGTCTTGAATGTCTTTGTTAAAGTAAAGTTGGGATTACATAAAAAAAAAAAATATTCAGTATTGCAAGACTGAACAAAAGTAAAACAATGCTACACAAAGCATTTGTGGATGCAGCCAGATCTAGTCATCACAGAAGGAAGAAATAAAAAAAAAGAACATTTAAAATCAAAGGTACACAACTCATGATGATGTTTCAACACTGACATGGAATTATTGCCCTTACTGTGCCCCAATATTCTGTTGACAACTTTTTATAATTCTTCTCCTTTATTCTCAACACAAGTTACAGAAAACAACAAAATAAATTAAAGAGAGAAAAAAAAAAGTGAAGCCAATAAGAAGTAGACTAGTCCTTGAATGTACCACTCACATGTGTAAATATCTTTAACATAATTGTAAATAATTCATTCTGATTTCATGTAATTAGCTTTCTCTATAAGTCTCAAATGCTGAAACAGTCTTCAATAGTTATCATGTTTTAAAACACAAATTAAATAATACTCACAGACCAGACACAAAAAATTGTCTTAAAAGAGACAACAGCAAATGTATGTCATTTGCGCTACATTTAAACATGATTACACACACACACATACAAACTTCTGTGTTAAAATGTTCCTGCACTTACAGTGGTGTAATTACTTTTCTTCATATAGAACTGATCACAACAAATCTTAAGCAATGGAATGACCAGTAAAAATATAACCACAATCTCTCACCAGTGTTTTTTTAGGACTGTCAATGATAAATTAAGTTTTAGTTTGTCTTTTAAAAAAAAAATAAAAAAAATGGCAATCATGGTTAGTCCAATTTAGTCCATGTAGTTAAGAATTTATACCTAGAGGCAGGTGAAGTCAAAATACAAGAATATTCAGTTTGCTATGGGCTATTAGGAGAATCTCAATAAACTCATAGCATTAAACCCAAAAATAAACAACATTGATGCATTAAAAACAAGCAGTTTAAAAATAAGAATTTAAGATCTATAGGTACATAAAAGCAAAATAAATAAAACAAAAATGTATAATTATATGATTTTTTTTTCTTCAGATGTGCATTAAAACAATTTATGCTGTAGAAAGTCACAATTGTATACAAAAAAAAAAAAGGGTACAAATCACTTTAACAAGTCTAATCACACTAGCAATGTGACAGTAACACTTTTCGTAGACTTAATGAAATGTATTTTATATTCCAATTTAGCAGAAATCCTTGTGAAGTTGGATAGAATATGAAAATACACGGGCCAAGCCCACCTAATGGTTCCCAGTAACTGCATGAAAGTATTTCTTCAATGCATTGGGATCACAGTTCAGCTCAACAGAGTTGTGATTCAGAACAAATTGATGACTAAATTTTATCTCTCACGACAACCAAGTAGCCTCTCCTTTTCTAGATAGCTTGGGATTATTATCATTAAATTTTTAAGATGAAACAGAAAAAAAACAACAAAAAAACTTTTGACAGTTGTATATAGCACAAGAAAATGTTGATTTTTTCTGAACTCACTTCTGGTTGTGACTTAAAATGCATTGTCTTTATAAGTACTTCATTTTCTTCAACTTTGCGTTTAAATACTGAAGAGTTAATGGTTAAAGAAAAATTTAATAAACAAAAACATGTTAGTTGAAGCTAAATGTTTGTACAATATTAATTAACATAAATTATGATGTCATCTTTTAACAAGTAACACCAAGTCAAACTTCTTGTATAATAAATTAATATTTGAAATCGTATCCCACCAAAAAAAATTTTTTTTTTTTCATTTTAAAAATGAATGTGATATGATTAAAAAAAAAAAAAAAAAAAATAAGCTGAACTAAAAAAAAACAAAAAAACAACAACACAGTGGTGGGTAGCTTAGCTTAAACAGAAATGAAAAAAAAGGGGGTAGGGTACAAGTGGAGGAATTGAAATCTTTGGTGTGAACTGGGAAAAAAGAAAAAAAAGTTTTTTTGTATGGTTGGGTCAATAAAGTGAAACTAAATTAGGGGGTAATGATGATAAAATTTAGTAGCGGGATCAGGGCAAGAGTTAGAGACATCTATATCTAAAACATCAATGAGAAGAACCATCCGTTTGAACAACTCTTTGCTTGCTGTAGCCAGCAGCCGTCATCACATCTTGTTTTGTTTTGTCTTCACTCCATTTTTAACAGTTCTATATCAAATATTAAGGTGGCATTTTTGGGAATAGTGGTAAGAGTTAAGAAAAACACAATTTTGAATATCATTTGAAAAACAAAGTTGTTGATACAATCAAACATCATTTCAATTGAAACAACTTTTCTTTAACTGTCTCCACTTTACTTTTAAACTACCTTTAAGAGTAAAGTGGAGAAAACTTGTTCTGAACAAAATCTCAATACAGTACAGCAAAAACAAGAACATTCTAAACAAAAAATTCTTTAAAAATAAATAAAGATGTTATAATGTGTAGTTGTATCAATTAGTTTGGATCAGTTACGTCATTAAATTTGTAATACATCTAGACTAACACTACAAATCGTGTGATTAGAGATATTTTTACCAACTGTTTTTGTTTGGTCCAGTTTCCTCTTCCTCCTCTAAAACTTTCACCTTCTTTGTCAGATTTTCCCAACTGTCTTAATATTGAGATAAAGGATGTCTATGTAACCTGCACGCTGTACATGTCAAAACATTAACATCTCGACAATTTGTATTTTAACTTTTCTTACTTTGTTGAACTGACTGATTGACCTTCACCTTTCTTATGGCCTACACCCTTTATTTGACCTCCACTTCTAATCTAACTTCCACCATTTAATTGTCGAATGGTACCACCATGATGTCCCACTATGGGCTTACTGATAAATTTCAACCGCTCTTTATTTTGTCTGCCAAAACTACATAACTGTTCAAGTCTTTTGTCATCATCCTCCACCTATTCTGCCAGGTTTGATACATGCAGGGGTTCTTTCATTTTACCTTTGAACCTTTTTTTAAAAGATGCCTTTGCTTCTACATACAGCGTTTCCTGGTTAGCAAAGTTCATACCTGTCAGAACTAGTATCTTCTCAGTTTGTATAACTCTTGCCTTTCTGAGTAACTTGAAGGCCAGAATCTCAGGTAACAGCTTTATCTTTTTCTTATCCATTATCCTATACTCTGTATCAAACTCCATGAGATGATTTTCTTCCTGCTTCAAATCTTCACATTTTTAAAATACTGTCTGTGAGGTCCTCTTTGGCCAAGTTCTTGACAAGAAACTTTCAACAGATTCTCAAAGCCTTCCTGACATTTGAGCTCTAACGAATCTAATTGCTCAAAAACAATCTATCTTATCCTTGATTCCCTGATTTGTGGTAATGAAAGGGCTACAGCTTTTGCCCTTTTTTCTTCTTTTAAATTTGTTATTTCATTCCATGGAAACAGTTCTTTCTTATTTAGCTCATAGGGCATATCTTTAAAAAAGGATGGCCATAATTACTTTGAACAGAATCAATAAATCTGTTTACTTACATATACCACTTGTTAGCTTAAGAATGATACACTTAATAACAATAATTAATGCTGACGCTATAACGCCAGAATTATAAGACTCTTTAATAACATCACCAACAGTACATACAATTTCTTGCCAAGGGAAATACTTCTACTAACAAAGAATATAAACACTGTCAACAATTTATTTCTAGGAAAATTATTGCAGCCATTTTCTATACCCATGTCTACTCTACCCACCCAGGTAGGTTTTAGGATCTACCCATGAAGAGTTTGCAAAAATTGTTAAAAAAAAAAGGATATGCACCAGGATAACCTCTGGCTCCATATGCGAAATCTGGAGAACACACAAGCCTTGCTCTTTCCCCACGACTCATCTGAAATATTATTGTTTAGAATATTTTTATGATAAAAAAATTCTTCGGAAAATGCAAGAAGATAATGTTAAGCTAAATAATTCTCTAAGACTTAGAAGTCTAGGGTCAGATGATATTAAGTTTGCCTGTTTCCATGGAAGGGTGTTTTAGGGGCTAACACAACCAAAAACTGCATTAAGTCAAAAATGTTAAACCCCTTTAAAAGACACATTTTTAAAATTTAAGTTCTAATTACCCCAATAATGAATGACAAACAAATAAAAGCACTTGATTTCTGCACTGGCTTTTATTAACTGTCACGTATCAATTTAAATAAACAAAAGTCTAGTTTAATAAACTTAACCTATTTATGCCCAGTGTCAAAATTTCCCATGACATAAGTTGACACGCGTCCATCAATAGCATGACATCTGACAGGAAATAATTTGATTGGTTAAAGGCTAGCGTCAAAGAAGAGGCTAAGGAAACACGGGATCTAGAATTTTCGGTCATGGAGAAATTTTAATAGAGATAAGACGTATTTTAGTTTTGAGTTATAACTTGCAGTGATAAAAGTTGTATTTTATTAGATCTAGTATTATTCTAAATGTATTTCATTAATGAGCTTTGAAAGTAGATATTTATTTGATAAGTCTATTTTGTACATTCTGTACATACAGTGATTCCCAGTTATCGAATTAAAGTTCTGCATTTGAATTAAAAGGATCTTCGTTCATTGAATCTCCAAGATAGCATTTAGATCTAAGAGATATAGATCTATAGAATCCCCGGCATGTCACAGTAACTTCTTGTAACGACTGACATCTCAAGAAAAGATCTACAATATTAGCACATCTCAACAATCTTCAAGAGCACCTATGACATATTCCAGCACTTCCAACAACGAGAGTACTGTGACATTAACATTGGCCATAGAAAAATAGCAAACTTGAATTCACATTATTTCTTGAAGTCAGCTTTATAAAGAAGCAGACAATTTAACATTATTTCTCTAAAAGGAACTAGGTATTAAATTGATGGTTACATAACTCTTTCACCCATAAGTCCTACAAATAAGATCCTTTCATCCCTAAAATGGTCACAAGAGACCCTTTCACCCCTTAGTCCTACAATTAAAATTTGCTAGAGATGTTATAAAATTTAAGTTACCTTGGAAACACCTTCATCCCAGCCTGCAAGAGAAGCAAAAAAAGAAATGTTTACAAAATTGAATAACATGATTGATGTTTATGACGTAGAAAGTGTGTTAAAACAAACAAAAAAAAACAAAAAAAGTAAAGATAACTTCAATAATTGATGTGATAAGAATTTGTAAAACCCAAACTTACACAGTGAATACTGTTTGAACTTTGATTTTACTGTTATGTTGTCTAATTTTGGTAAATTTGTTTTTGCATTTTTTAAGAAGAGAAATGTAATAGCATTGATGACAAACATAGTGTGTGTGTTACTGTCTGACCTTAGCAACCTGTAGGGGAGGACTACTCATGACAGACTGAATGGCTGTATTATTATAGTTGTTGATTGCAAGGTTTCTTGGAGCATCTGGTTGTTTCTATTTTATAATGTGTTAGGAACATGTAGACCTAGGATCTTAATACAGGCTTGTAGTTAATTAATAAAGTTAGTTACCGTAACAATTAGTTTATTCAGTTGCTGTGTGACCATGGGTGAACGAAAGAAAACACAGTGAAAACATAACTATTAGAAAATTAATGAAGAATAGCATGAAAACTAAACAACTACCAACCTTTTATCACTTCACCCTTGCCTATGCAAAACTTAAAGGGGCTACCTCGATCTCGAGATGAGTCGATTTTTTGCCCATCAACTAATGATGCTGAAAACAAAATCAATGTTTTTTTTCTTATTAACAAAATTTTTTTTTGAAGAACTTATGTAACTGCCAAAGAAATTAGTAATATAGTTATTAGTAATCTTAATATTATCTTAGACCAGCAAAAGCCAGAAAAAAAAAGAATTCTGACCTGTATAATGAATCACAACCGTTTGACCAGTTTTAGGGTAAGTGGCACCTAGAAAATGAATACATTCAGAACTTTGTTAAAAAAAAAATATGCATGCTCTTATCAAGCTAAATTGCAAATGGTTTGGAACTTTATAATTTATAATAACTTTTTATCAGCTAGATCATTGGAATGCTAATTTAATACTATAGAGAGCTAGCTCCAGTACAATGTATGATAACAGTTTAAGTCTGCACATGCATAAATACTAAAAAATTTTTTAGAAACTTAACAATGCTGTAGATTTACAATCAAAATAAATACAGCCAACATTAAAAGGAATTTATTTGACAAGTCCAATAGCTACAATATAACAAGATATGAACCAAAAAAAAAAATGTTTGGGTTAATATACAAACACCTGAAAAAAAAAAAAGATAAAGAACCAATGCCAACTCTGCCAAGTTTGTGGAAATGTGGTGATCAAATAGTCGGGTATAAGGCTGGTCCTGCTTTAATGTCAGGATTTACTTGACCCAGTTGAGGACAGATTGTATTGTATTGGTCAGACCTAGACAGGTCTGGAACCCCCAGGGCACAAGACATAGAGGAAGACCAAAAAGAAAGTGGCCATGCAGTGTACTAGATGAAGCCTAGAGGACAGGAAGGAGCTGGGAAGCCATTAAAAAGCTATCAAGAGACCATGGAGAGTGGCATGTATTTACTGAGGCCCTATGTTCCATGAGGAACGAATGGAAAGATGATGATGATTGGTCAGTTTAGACCATAAATCACTAATAGTGTGTCTCTACAGACCAGGAGAACCAGGCAGAAATGAGAATGATCCATGAAGACTCACAAACACAATCTTAAAGCCTGACCACTGAAAGAATAAAGATTCATCTACAGCACATGTAGCAAAAAAAGTACTCATCTAAATTATTAAACAATTAGTAATTATATATATATATATATACCCACCATCTCCTGGTCTTATAATTTCTTTTTCCACCCCCATCGGCCAAATGATAGAGTCATTGAGTTGTGGAAGCTTTGCTACCTATAGAAGAAATAAGAATACACTATTTAGTTATAGAATCTTCATAAATATGATTATGTAAAAGCTCTTAATGCAATATAAAATTGAGAACAACAAATGCAAATTTATATGTTATATTCCAAATATTATACATGTTGGTTCACAAAATCTTGAGCTATGAGTCTAGCTTTATGACCTGGAAGGCTGTTTATAAACATTTTTTTAAAGCAATCCCAAAGAGGTGGGTAATAAAAATTATGAAAATAGCATAATTTATGTAATTATAGAGATTATCGTTTCATCCTTCAGTGATGATCAGAAAAATCTAGCCCACAAATTAGATCCTTTT